ACCAAAATGAAGCCGTTCCAGGCTCCTGGCACTCCCTTAAACCCAGCACACATGTCTCAACATTTCTGGTTTTTCCCTATTTTCTTATTTTGTCTATTAGGTCTTCGCCTGGCTGTTTTCTCTTTCTTCTTCTTTTAGCTAAATGGCTTTCTTGAGAATTCCGTAAGATCTGGGCTGGGAAGGTGGCTCAGTGGTAGAGTGCTTGCCTTGCATGTCTGAGGCCCTGGGTTCGATTCCTTAGCACCACATAAGCAAAAAGAAAAAAGCCGGAAGTGGTGCTGTGGCTCAAGAGGTAGAGCGCTAGCCTTGAGCTAAAGAGCTGAGGGACAGTGCCCAGGCCCAGAGTTCAGGCCCCAGGAACGGACCAAAAAAACAAAGGAAGAGAATTCCGTAAGATCTATAGTCAGGTGAGTCTAATAGTCTTCGTTCTATATCCTGATGGCTTCCCCCCACCTCAGAGTACTTATTAGTCTATCAAACTTTTTCTTTATTAGAATCTTGTAAAGTTTCTATCTTACTTTCATATCTCTAGATGTTAGAATGCTTTGAGTCAAGAACAGAGGACAGTATACAACTTACTCAAGAACCTACCTGTGATACAAATGAAACAACCACTGCTCTGGAAATTGACCTCAGTGGATAACCTGGAAAGTAAGAATTGTTTCAAGCTCCAACACTCTTTTATTCCAATGACACATTCTATGTCTTCCACTTCCAGAGAAATTTAGAGAACCTTCCTCTCTCTCCTCCTTATGAGTATCCAAAGATAAGGAAAAAATGACTTAAACAGCATGGAAATTGAGTTTAATCATCTCCGATGGACCTCTGCAAAGTTCATGGCTATTTAATAATGGTGGTAAAATGATTGGAAAAAAAAAGAAAGAAGTAGAGGTAGAGGGAACTGAGCATGACTAATTAAAGGAAGACACATTTGATATTTGTTAAGACTTTGGTGGGCCATGAGTTCCCCTTACTTCTCTATTGGTTTCCAGACTGATGAGTTGGAAACAACCTTCATGTTTTTCTTGTGTCTCTGCAGGGGTGTGTTGTTTAAAGCACATCATGTTGCTGGTATTCAGGACTGGGGCATGGTTCAAGTGGTAAAGTACTTGCATAGCAAACACAAGGCCCTGAGTTCAATCCAGAAGCAATTGCTTATATTTCACTATTTTGACTTTAAAAAAATTAGATTTTCATATATTTTAATAAACTAGATCATTCCTCTTATAAGCCAGAGAATGCAAGATATGTAGGAGAAAGTGAAAACTCATATTATAGGTTCAGAACAAATTCATAACGTGAATCCTAACCTGTGCCAAGTTTTTGGAAAGATGCCTTAAAGAGCAATTTACAGATGTTCATTGTCTATGACACTGTTTTGAGTACAAAGGAACTCTGCTTCAGCTATAAGGTGCTGACCTCAAGATAAAAAGGAGATCTCTAACCCTACCATCCTTCAAGGCATCTCTAGCACAAGGACACAGACTTAACAAACACTGGAGCTCAGGGACTAAAGAGATACTCTGTACAATCTCTCACTGGCTTTCTGACTTCAGAGAAACCTAGCTAGTTCAATACCTGACTTTGTTTTTTACTTAAAACAATGAAATACACAGAATTAAACACACAAAATAGAATAGAACCATGCATATAATGTCTTTTTAAAAGAGAAAGCTCTTTTCTGACATAATTAAACATAATGCAGGGAAGGGGAATATAGCAAATTAGATTAACATTATTCATAATTCCACTAATGCCTGGAGGGAATATGAATCTAAGATTAAGTATTTTATTGGAAAAGATCTAAAAAGAAATGATTTATATATACATGTGCTTTACACAGATCTCCTAAAGGAGACAAGTATTTAGACTCCTGTTGTGTGGAAGTAGTTTGGATTTCATACAAGTTAGGTCAGAAGTTATTGAAGTAATCTCAAGTGTTAAGGGATTTATTTTGGGCAAAATGAAGAAGCTATTTCCCTGCTTTGCTCACCCATAGTAGCTCAGCACCCGAGGTGTGCACTTACGTTGAAAGTCCCTGGTCAAAGCCAAAGGAAGACTCAGCACCATCAGCAGCACCATCATAACTGCCATGTGGAAGCCTCCAGGGAGCCTTGGATACACCATGCTGGAGATCAGCATGAACCCTCTCTACCCAGATCCCAAGTAATAACCAAGGTATTCATTGCTTTGATGCTGGATTGACCAAGTTCAATGTAGACAAACCAGTCAGCACTAGAGATGAAAAGCATCACCTGTTGCTGGGCAGAGATTGAATACCAATGTACTCTTTTGAAATGTACCCATTTCTTTAGTTTTTTTTTTACTTAATATTTTAACTCCTTAACCCCCATATATCTGAATTATTTTAATGAGATCTCTATCCTGATCTGGTCAGTCCTAGTAAGTAATATAGTCACAGGGATGAGCCTTGGAAAGACAATTGCTTGCACAACTACTCACTTGGGCAGAGTGCAGAGCCACGCACAGGAGCACAGTGGCCTTACCCCTATCGTTTCTTCCTGACCAAGATAAGAAGATAGCTAGTTGAGTCAAGGGTGTAGCTTAATAGCTTGTTGATCCAGTGCCCCTGCTTTGATTCCTGAGGTTGTTTTGGCATCTTCCTTTCTTCCTCATGAGGAACCTCCAGATTGCTGTTGACAGTGGTTATACCAGATTATTTTCCTCACCAACAGTGCAATAGGATCATTTCTTTTTCCCCACATGCCCACCATTTGTTATTGTTCAAGTTCATGACGTTGGCCAATCTAACTGGGGTGAGATAGAATCTCAGAGTTGTTTTATTTGTGTTTCCTTTATGGCCGGGGATGATGAGCATTTCCTCTTGTGTTTCTTTGCCATTCGTACCTCTTCTTCGGAGAAGTCTCTCTTAGTACCCTTACCCATTTAGTGATCCTTTTTTTTAAGCTTTGGAAGGGGTTAGTTGCTTGAGCTCCTTGTATCTTTAGGATATTAGACCTTTGTCAGATGTATTGCTGGTAAAGATCTTCTCCCAGTCTGTTGGCTGTTTTTCTAGTTTAGTAACTATGTTCTTTGCTTTTGAACAGGTACCTTCTAGGTGCCTGTTCACCCTGCAGTGCTGGACCCAGCAGTTGGTATCACAACCTCTGACCTCAACTCTACTAACAGAGATACATAACAAAAACAGTTTGGTATCCCCTTTCTGATGCTGTGGTCCTTCGAGTTGGAAGACACAGGGGAAGACATGGTGTCACTGAAGACTAGCCAGCCTTGATCTCGGACAGGCCCAGGGGCACCTGCCAGCTGTGTTCTCCAGGGACAACTGGTTCTCCAAACTCAGTGGCTTAACAGGCTACAACCCAAACCACCACAGGGGGTTCTGCCCTACACCATCCTGACTTCTTCCTGACTTCTGGAGCTGGGCATCCTCTATTGATCTGCTGTGACTCACACAGTAGAGTGCCAGGAGGGTTCCATGTTAAGATTTAGGGACCAGGCCGGAGGTGGCTCTGTCACTTCCCTCCAAGTTCCACTAGTCACATGTAATACCAAGAAAGACTAAGAAAGATGGCTTCAAGAGCTGGACACTAATGGCTCCCACCTATAATCCTAGCTACTCAGGGGGCTGAAATCCGAAGATCACAGTTTGAAGCCAGCCCAGGTAGGAAAGTTCATGAGATTCTGATCTCCAACGAACCTCCAGAAAACTGGAAGTGTTACTGTGGCTCAGAGTGGTAGAGTACTAGCCTCGAGCGAACAAGCTCAGAGACAGCACCTAGGCCCTGAGTTCAAGCCCACGACTGACAAAAAAAAATGGCTTAGGTGTTTTCTGGGTGAAAGTGTCTCCTTCCAAAACTGTATCTGACAGTTTTCACACTCAGTACCCAGAATGCAACCTGGTTTGGAAATAGTGTCTTCACAAGGGATAATCAAGTTGATAAGATCCTTATGCTGGGCCCTAATATGACTGGAAGTTTTATAGAGTGGGAAAGATAACAAGACAAAGACCCAGAGAGAATGTCACCCACAAATCAGGGAGCACCCCAGGCTACTAGAAGCCAGAAGAGAGAGTCCTTCCCGGAGAAGACCATTCTCAGAATGAGCTTTGTTAACACTATGATCTCAGCCTTTGAGGCTCCAGGATCCCGAGACATTAAATGCCTGTTTGCCACATTGTTTGCAAGACTCAGCCACCTGCCTGGCTGTCCCCCATCAGTAAAATACATGGTGGGTTTGGGACATACAGGGAGCTGCCAACCATTGCAGCCCAAGCTCTGCTCAAAAGGGGACAAAAATAGAAACCGATCTCCTTATAGAAGCTTTCTGCCTCATGGATGTGCTGAGTCACTTACCCAATGCCCCATGCCTCCCCTGGGACATGTCACCTTCTCCCTACTCCTGACACGAATCCTTCCAGAAAAAGAGAGAGAGACAGAGACAGAGACAGAGAGACAGAAACAGAGAGACAGAGAGATAGAGACAGTGACAGAGATAGAGACAGCGACAGAGACAGAGATGGCCCTAGCCAGCTAGAGTCGCCATGTGGAGGAGGAAGGGGATCTGTGCTGCTCCCACATCGCTGTTTCTTCTCCCTTGGTCTAGAACTGCAGGAGCATTGCCAGTACCTTTTTAAGGGACCTCAGACATTTCAGCCCCTAGATGCTTGTAGGACTCGGGTCCTTCCTCGTAAGGTGAGTATCCTCCCACTGACTTTCCTGTCCACACAAGAGTCCATTTGCAATGGTGCTGTGACATGCTGGCGATAGAGCATGCTGCCTACCCCTCCCCTCCCAATAGAGCAGTAATCGTGGGAGCTCAAGAGG